TGTTTTTAGGCTACAACTTTATAAATTGATAAATTGTGGGCTCCATATTGCCAGCGATTTTATAGATTGATATGGTTTGGGTTGTGGTTTTAAAAACCCTTTATAGATTGATAAACTTCGTGCCTAGGCTCTAGCTAGCTTGGCAACCTCTAGGCTGGCATCCTTTGCCTCGCTTCCGTGTGCTGTCCGTTCGGAACCTCAGGCATTTTGCCTCTTGTACAGAACACACTGTTTGAAGAAGGAAGAAAAAAAGCTGGCTGCATCGGCTGCATGCACCTGAGATTGTGTGCACCTTGGGACAGGGAGTGTGTACCAGCCTCGCGAAGTTTCCATGTTCTGTGCAAGAGAGAGAAAGAGAGAGAGCGAAAGAGAAGCCAGAGGCAGCCCACAACACCAGAACTCGAACACCCCAAACAACAAAGCCACACAACCAGGAAGCACGAAAACACAGAAACACCAAAACACTTCTAACCCAGAAACACCAAAACACTGTTATATATATATATATACAGTCCCACAATACGAAATCCCAAACCCCATGCAGACAGCAACCCAAACCACAAGCGAAAAGCCTGCAGCCCCATGGTGGGGTGCAGTGGGGTGGTGGGGCGGTGGGGTGGTGCCACGTCTATCCGGAAGTGTGTGCATTCAGTGCAGCCAGAAAGAGAGAGCGATATTTGCATGCATGTTTGTGTGCATGTGCAAGGTGCCAGGTCCAGCCCGGCAGTGTGTGCATACATTGCAGCCAGAAAGAGACAGAGACGGTGAGAGAAGGTACAGAGAAACAACCAAAGCCGCCAACCGTAACCAACAAACTCGACCGCCGAGCCCTCTCCTTTGGAGGGCAGCACGTGACATGACACGGAAGTATATTCCCTGCATGATCGACAGCCATGCACGTCAATCAGAGATGTGTGCTTGTGCATGCACGAGCATGCACCATTCGCTCGCAGGGCAGTGCTCGTGAGCAGACATGTCATGCATTGCCGCAGGTTTTGAGTTGCCGAGCAGAGCACGTCACGAGCCAGTTGCCACAACCCCCGCATCCATCATGGCAGTGCATCAAGTGTTGCACCCCGGCATCCGACCACACGAGGCTGCCTTCGTTGATAAGTGGTCTTCTGGCGACTTTCCGCACAATGGCCAGTTTGAGGCTTTGAGTTACGTGTCGAACTACAGACTCACCCAGGGTTATGACGTGATCTCATTTCGTGGATGGCACTGCCACATGATTCGCCCGTTGGCGAATCAGGATGGGAGTCTATGGCGGGCCATACAAAACGGCAACGTGAGACCCATGATCATTCGCCCGGCCCCTGCTGGCATCCTCTACATCAACCTTCAAGCCCGCCTCGAGGACGGATTTGTCTGGCTTCAGGGCACCATGCTGTCGGGCCGAGTGGCATGGAAAGGGAGACAACTGGCCACCCTTGACGTCAGGATGAGTACTGTCTCGGCGAGAGTCAGAACCGTTCTGTTGCGGCAGAACATCATCAGATCGACCAACAAGGTGGTCTTCATGGGACACACACGCATCCTGAGCAAGACGGCGAAGCTGTGGTCCCCACATGTGAAGAAGTCGCAATACCAGAAGCAGTTGCCTAAAAGGCGAATGGTCCGAAAGACCGACCCTCGCTACCTGGCTCTAGGGAGGTATATGGCCCCATTTTGATTTCAGTGTTGTTTACTGTGCCCATGCACTCTGATTTGAGTTTTGTTTCGTGGGCACATGCACAAGAAGCTGCATCGGTTGAAAAAGAAATCATGCAGTCGCTCGTCCTGCTCATGCATGCATTCACAACATACAGACTTTCGCACAACACCTTTGCACACATGATGCATATATTCATGTTGTGGTCCTCAAGACAGGGTGCCTATTATATATAGTTTCTAGCTATTATATAGTCGCCCAGTGTGTGGATCCGAACCACTCGGGCAATGCTCTCCGGCCGGGTTGTCTGGCCAAAGAGCTTCAGCATGCAGAGCAAGAGATCATGCGATCCACGGGAGATCTGGCGATGCTCGGGGACCCCCGCATGAAAAGACATAAATGCATTGCTTTTCGAGTGCATGCATGCCAGCATGAACATGGTCTTTAGGGCATTTGCTTGTCGCATGTATGATTCATTGTTTCCTGCCCACGACAGGCACGTTTGCATGCACGTAGATTACTTGCTCTGAAGCACTCAGTTTTCGCCACGATCCTAGCTCAGACCGCCATGTTGCGACAGATCGAAGGTGTCAGGGCCATCACGAATTCCCTGGCAGACGAAAGCACAAGGCAGCAAGTCTTATGTGCTCAGGCTCACTCGTTGCTCCAGCAGCTGAAGGCCACCGTCATCACGGGTGACATGGTCGAGCAGTGTACGAGGGCAATCCAAGAGTCGCCATTCACGGACAGTCAGAAGGACACCTTCCTCACCGCACTCAGCGAGAAAGTCTTGCAGAGTGGAGGCGACGGCAAGAAGGTGAAAAAAACCACCCAGGAGCTGGAGGACATCGGTCCTTTCCTGAGTGAAGAGGACGTGCAGTACCTGACCAAGACGGAGCTGAATAACCTTGCCAAAGTGACTCGGTTGGCCGAGGTATATGCAAGAGTAGGATGCACGAATCCCACAGAGAATACATGTGGGAAAGCGGTGTCCTTCCTGAAGGAATACATGCATGTGCCGGGCCTCACGGATCCACCGACGTTTCTAAAGTCGGTCCAGACTTTCAAGGTTGCTCTGAAATCAGCAGCGAAAAAGGTACCGGCACCATCCATGCACATTGCGAAGTTTACCACCCCGGAAGCTCTACCGGATGAGGTTGCGAAGCGGCTCTTTGCAGAGAGCAAGCCATCGGACATGCAATCAGGACCTGTGGCGATTTACGGGCCGTTGAGAAAGTCACACAAAAGCATCACTGGCGGCACTACCTCTACGGCTGCCCCCTCGTCCTTTCAGCATGGCATGATGGGCGGGATGATGGCGGGCATGCCCATGATGCCATCGATGATGCCTATGTCTGTGCATGGTTCGCCCGTGATGAGCATGCAGCAAATGATGCAGACATATGCACAGCAGTATGCACAGCAGTGCCTTGGACAGCAAGGGCCGAGAGGAGGATCCTTGCCCAACCTTATCTTCTTCAATCAGGGTGGCCAGCAAGGGCATCAGAACCAAGAGTCCTCCAATCAGCCCGGACAGCAAGCTACGGTGCTTCAAAAGCAGCTGACTGGAGGGGATCAGCAGTCGGCTCCAGGTGGAGAATTGGTTCCGTTCACTCAGCCACAAGGTGCTAAGCGAGCATTTTGCGCGTCGTGTACAAGCGGAGTCGGCGTTCAGCGTGCAAAAAAGTCGAAAAAACACGAAAAGTCGAAAAACACGAAAAACGCAAAAACACGAAAAACGCGAAAAAACACGAAAAACTAAAAAACGCGAAAAACACAAAAACCACGAACAACTATTACTACTTCCTACTAAAACTATTACTACTTCCTACTACTATTCAGATTACTATTATTATTACTATATTGCTAGTTACTATTATTATTATCACTGCTATTACTTTTAACTTTTTTCGCGTTTTTCGCGTTGTTCGTGCTTTTCGCGTTTTTCGCGTTTTTCGTGTTTTCGTGTTTACTATTACCATTACCATTACCATTACTATTACTATTACTATTACTATTACTATTACTATTACTATTACTATTATTATTACTATTACTATTGCGATTACTATTACTATTACCATTACCATTACCATTACTATTACTATTACTATTACTATTACTATTACTATTACTATTACTATTACGATTACCATTACTATTACTATTACTATTACTATTACTATTACTATTACTATTACTATTACTATTACTATTACTATTACTATTACTATTACTACTACTACTACTACTACTACTACTACTACTACTACTACTACTACTACTACTACTACTACTACTATTGCTAGTACTAGTACTAGTACTAGTACCATTAATATTACTATTACTATTACTATTACTATTACTATGGCTATTGCTATTGCTATTGCTATTACTATTACTATTACTATTACTATTACTATTACTATTACTATTACTATTACTATTACTATTACTATTACTATTGCTATTGCTATTGCTATTGCTATTACTATTACTATTACTATTACTATTACTACTACTATTACTTTAAAATAACTACTACCACTATTACTATTACTACTTTTCGCGTTTTTCGCCTTTTTCGTGTTTTTCGTGTTTTTCGCGTTTTTCGCGTTTTCGCGTTTTTCGCGTTTTCGCGTCCATCTCTGCGCCTCCGCTTAGCTGAGACACACAAAGCGTTTCCACAGACAAAGTGAGCCCCGTGTGCAGCAGAACCAGTCCGAGACGAAGCTCCCCATGACGGCAGCCGCCCAAGCTGAGGCGATGTTGGATGCATGGAACAATCGCAAGCAGCTAGAGAAGGACGACAAGGAGGACAAGGAGGATGATGAGACGATGATGAAAAGGCCAGCCGCTGCCATGAAAGCAAAGCCGAAGGCCAAGTCCACCATGAAGAAAGTGCAGGCCAAGGCCAAGGCCGGCAAAGCCGCCGCGAGTCCGAAGCAGAAGGCGGCACCAAAGGTCGAGCCGCCCAAGCATGTTCTCAAGAAGATGCCGAAGCATGAAAGGGCGAAGTACAGGCCCCTGGGGTGCAGCAAATGCAGACGATCCCCAGGATGCACGCCATCGTGCTTTTGAAGCCGAGCATGCTGCACACGTGCCGTTGAAAAGTGTTGTATGCTCTGCATGCAAACATCCTGCATGTGCAAAGGGCTATCATGTCACTGCTAGTATATCTTTGGGGTTTATATAGGGTTTATATTTTAGGGGTGTATAGGAATTATAGTATAGGATTATAGGGGTTTAGGGGATATAGGGATATGGATGCAATGATGCCACATGCATGCAAGCTTTGCCGAGTGCTCCCAGGCTGTTGCATGTTGAGTAGAAAGCACCTCATGCATGGTTTGAAGAAGTTCGTAAGTAATGCTCATGCCTGCATGGAGATCGTGAGATATCTGTACTTGGATAACTAGTAGCTCAAAAAGGCACTCATCATTTCCTGCATCCGCCATTTGCTCGGCTGCAGGGTATATATACTCGCAGTCAGGGCTTGATTGCACACACACTTATCCGGCACTTCTTCTTTTGCCGGTGACCGAGATCTATATATACCATCATGTCTCAGTCTGCCAGCAGCAAGGCTCCTGCATTTTCTATGTTGGGTCGCAAATCATATGTATCCCAACGTGGACTGGAGAGTGTCTTGACAGACTTAAAGGCATCTGGACTGCTTGCAGACGATGTTACATCCTCCAGATCCTCCATCAAGCGATCTCGGGAGGAGGACCTTGCATCTCTCACCGGTGTCTTTGGGCCTTTGGTGCAGAAGATGGAGGTCCCGGTGGAGGGCAAGCATGACAAGAACATCGTGGTGCCATACATACACCCAGCTTCCTTCCTGAAGCACGTCTTCAGCCTTGCTCCGTTGTGGGATTTTTTGCGACAGGAGGTCTTGCCACACAAGGAGAGACCATCCTATGGTCGCCCATGGGGTCTGATTTTTTATGCTGACGAAGTCACCCCAGGCAACACCCTGAAATCCAACAATTCTAGGAAGATGCAATGCATATACTGGAGTATATCCGAATTGGGAAGTCGCGGTTTGTCGTCCGAGGCATTATGGTTTCCATTAACCTGCCTACGGTCGCACCTGTGTTCTTCCATCGGCGGGTTGACATGCTTGTGGCGACTCATGCTTCGATTGTTTTTCACAGAGCACGATATGCGAAAAGGCATCCTGGTGGACACTCCTGAAGGAGACCATTTCCCCATGTTCTTGGACTTGAAGATCTTAGTCGCAGATGAGGCGGCCATTAAGCAGTCCATCGAGGGAAAAGGTGCATCAGGCACCGTCTTCTGCTGCCGATGCAGCAATGTGGTTGCTGCCAGAAGTGCTGTGAGCGACATGCGATCTGAGTTCGTGTCCAGCTTTTGCACTGATTATTCCAAATTTCGTTTGCACACCAATGCGACGACTCGGGATTTCCTGGCATTCTTGGATGCACAGCACGGAACTATTAGCAAAGCCCACTTCGAGGCCTTGGAAAAAGCCCTGGGATTCAACCTTCGAGTGCACGGGTTGCTCATGGATGACATCATAGGACACAAGGTGCCTGAGGCCATCATGTTTGACTTTTTGCACATATACCTCGTCCATGGCATCGTTGGAAATGAACTGGGCTTCTTCTTCGGCATGCTTCGCGATGCAGGTTTCGGCGAGGATCAACTCAGAGACTTTGTATCCAGTTTTCGGTGGCCGAAGCAGTTCGCCCCACCCGATGCAACACGGGTTTTTGCAAAACGGGAGAAGAAAACATCTGCTGTCAAGGCTGAGGCTTCTGAACTCCTGAATGCCCTCCAAGTTTTGCGATTCTTTGTCTTGAAGTTTGTCATGAAAGCAGCGAGCAGTCCGGACACGGTCCAGGCATGCATGTGCTTCCTGTTGCTGTGCAAGGTCATAGACATGCTTCACGATGCTGTGCGAGGACGTGCTGTCGACCCGAAGGTCCTTCACGTCACGATCGTCAAACATTCGAACTGCTTGCTAGAGACCTATGGCGAAGATGTATGGGTTCCAAAGAACCATATGTCACTTCATCTAGGTGAGTTTCTTGCAAAGTTCGGCCACTTGGTCTGGTGTTTTACACACGAACGTAAACACAAAGTCGCGAAGCGCTTCGCCAACCAAAAGCTGGATGGCTCCAGGGGCTTCGAGGACAGTGTCCTGAAGGATGTCTTGGCGGTGCAGTTGAACTGCATGTCTGCAGAGCTTCCATCCTCGAAGGTGCGGCTCATGAACCCCAAGCCGGCCCCGAAGAAGCTCGTTGCTCTCGTGGAACAGGTCATGCCACTTGCAACGGGGACCATTCTTCATGACCTGCGGGCCATGCATGGTGGTGGGTTCGTCTGTACCAAAGGCGATGTCGTGGCTTTTGATGCTACGTCTGTGGGCCAGGTGCAGTTTCAGTTCCAGGCGGCAGGCCAAGTCTGGACTTGTGTCACACCATGGAAGCACGTTCACGAGCACATGTTTGAGTCATGCACAGACCTCGACCCCTTCATCACGGCAACAGACAGCATCCAATCGTGCTGCATCTATTCGGAGAAGGATGGCAGGCAAAGCCATCGTTTTGGTCTAGCCGCTAGCCGAACAAAATGCATACGAGCAAGGTGCCCTGCATGCGAGTCTCTTTCATGAGTGCATGTCTGCATGCGAGCAGTGTGCCCTGCATGCGAGTCTTGAAGTCACAGCTTTATATACTTGCAAGCATGCATGCATGAATCATGCACATGCCTTTTCCTCATGTTTGCACTGCAGAAATATGTGCATGCAATACTTTCTTTGGCGATATATTGCTTGATTTATCAGGCTCTGGACGGCTTCACTCGTGCTTATTGTCATGTAGGTCCTCGGTGGCCTCACTTCTCCTTCTGTGCTTTTGCTGGAGGATATATATACATTTTATGTTCATCTATGTATGTGAATATTTGCTGATATTTCAACTTATCCCACTTGCCTAAGTCCAAATAAGTTCACTTAGGTAACTCTAGTTAACTACATAGATAAGTCCGTTTACACAAGTTATATAACCCCACTTATATCCCCGATATTCCCTGTAACCAAACACTAACCACCAAGATCCTTCAAGTATAGTTTAGTCCCGCCTCCTACGCCTAGCCGATTTACCCCAGCCCGACATAGCCAACATAGCCCACATAAATCTTTTGCCCGACCCCGCACCCAGCAGACTTCGCAACCTATCATCACGAATGGAGGTCAGCTGCGCAGACGGTCCGGTCCCAAGTCCGGACACCGTGGCCTACTAGCACTTTGCTTGTATTGGCAACTCAGGGTTACGGTTGGTGCGAGGGTTGCCTCTATGTCCGCGGTAGAGGTGAGACCTGGCCTTTGGCCGGGGAAGCATCGCGGAACGGTGCTGAGCATGCATCATAATACACAATTCTGTCCTAAACCCTCAGAGAAACGAGCATACCGTCGAGCCAAACTCAGGGCGTTCAAAAACGGTGGCACCATCTACCGAGGCAGATGGCACACAGCTTCTAGTTTGCAAGCACTGGAACATCAACCACCTAAGCCCTTCCCCAGGCATGCCCGCGACAGGACCGGGATCAAGCAGGCCAGGGTCACTCCGATCAGATGTCTGAGTTGGAACGCGGGGGGCTTGTCTTCCCCCATCTACCAAGAGCTTCTGGCCTGACTTGCAGCCCAAAACCGGTTTCAAGTAGTGGTGCTTCAGGAATCACATTGGCCGGCCAGCTGCGATTTCCACTCAGGAGAGTGGTACTGCATCCACAGTGCTGGGGACCCCAATTGTTCCCACAGCAGGTATGCAGGATTGCTGGTCCTCCTCTCGAAGCGGTGTTTCCAGGACCCGGCAGTCCATGAAGTACGCAAGGGAAGGGTCATGCATGTTAGGGCGGTACATAAGCACACACAGGCAAGGCTAGATATCCTCGCTGTATACCAGCACATTTGGCAGAATCACCTCCCCACACAGGAGAACAAGCAACTTCGCGATACCATCTGGAGTGATCTATCCTTAGCAAGTTGCCAACGAGGAATTATCTGCTGATGTGTGGTGACTTTAACTCTAGCTTGACTACTTGTGCACCGGGGGTGGGCCCGGCCACCTTGCCGCCTCCGCAGCACGCAGCTAATTCACAGTTTGATCACATGATTGCCAGATTCCAGCTTTGTGCACTGAATACATGGCACGCTCGACCGAGCTTCACTTACTATAGTCATACTGGAGTTACTCAAATAGACTACATCATCACTCGCCAAAGGACAGCGGGCGGGCCCTGTCGAGAGGCCGCTCCTCTTCAATCATTCCCAGTAGCTCGATGGCGTCAAAGTGGCCACCTGCCACTGCAGGCCAGCATGGCACTCTTGCCAATACGCTGGCGAGCCGATATTTGTGCTCGCACCTCAGTGGTGCTGGACAAGCAGGCACTAATCCATGCTGTCACGCATCACACCCCGCAGGCTGCTGAGCTACAGCAGCGGGTGCAAGCCGCTTTGCAGCAAGTCCAAGCCCAGGACTTACATCAGATGCACACACAGGTGAATGCTATTGTGTGCAGAGCCGCTACACAGGTCTTTCCAGCCCAACGGCCAACGGATGTGCGCATCAGTGCACAGGCTGGGTTCAGGGCCTCTGCTAGGTTGACCTGGGAACTGATTGCGGCCATGCGCAAACCGCGAGTTGCTAGTACCAATCGCATCCTCCAACTGTGGCGTGCTGCCACGGCCTTCGGCCAGGCATCCAGACGCCTCCGGGAGCAAAGCCGCAGCCTCAAAAAAGCTGCTTTTCAGGCCAAGCTTGAGGAGACCGAATCTGCAGCCAGCCGACAGGACCAGAAAACTCTTTATCAGATTGTCCGATCCCTGTCTTCAGCGCCACGTAAGCACTTCTCCCGGCTTCGTGATTCCGAGGGCAATCTACTCTCCAGAGCGGCGGAAACACAGGCCTTGGTAGACCAGAGTAGGCAGACATACTCCCTATACCCTGACCTTCCCCTAAATGCGGTGCTCACTGACTCGTTACCGTTAGAGGTAATAGACGAAGAGGTCACCAAGCAATTTCGTGCGGTGAAAATTGGCAAGGCCGTGCCACCACATATAGCACCAGCTGCCTGCTGGAGATTGTGCGCAGATACTCTGGGGCCCATGTTTAGTGAGGCCATGCGATGCCACTTCCAGGCTGGCCGACCAGGCCTCCTCAGTGGGGACCTCACGAATGCAACCATGGTAATGATACCCAAACCGGGTAAACCTGAGCACCTGTTGGCCAATCTCAGACCGGTAGGGTTGATGGCCCCGACCTCGAAATCCATTGCAGGCATCCTGCGTGGGCGTATGATGGAGTAGCAGCTTCCACATCTGGTGCTACGGCCTCAATTCGCATACGTGTCCAATCGAGGCACAATGGATGCACTCCTTCGCATTCACAAGCACGTTGAAGAAGCAACACAGCTCATCAGGTCCAACAGAATCAACCGCTTTGGCCAATATCAGGGCCAAAAACCCTTGGACTTCGCAGGTGCGCTGAGTCTGTCATTAGAACTGTGTCGGGCCTTTGATCTCGACACTCTTCGAAGCCCTTGGGACCTACCAAGTCCCCCAGACTATCATCGATGTTGCGCAGCGGCTTCATTTTGGAGCCCGGTTCGTGTATCAGGCGAGAGATTACAAAGCTTCCTTTGCTCCCACTAACGGCCTCAAACAAAGATGCAAGGCAAGGTGGCACCCTACCTCTGGGTATGGTATACTCTAGCATTGATAGACACCTTAGAATCCAGACTCCCCGTAGGATGGATAGATGAAATCCTCACTCTCTTCGCAGACGATTGTTGGGGCAGCTGGCTACTTCGCTCCCTCACCGACCTTCGCAAGGGTTTGGCAGAATTGACCATTTTGCTCAGCACTCTTGAAGACTACAAAATACAAATCAACTATAGCAAGACTGCCATTCTCCTGAAGTTTGTCGGTAAGCATACTAAGCAGGCCCTACGCGACATCACGAAGATGCAAAACGGGGGTCCAACATCTTTATCTGATTATACATGGGAAGGAGCGGCTCATACCAATCAAGGACGCCCATGATTACTTAGGCACTAGAATCACGTACCATCACCACCGAGACGCCAACCTTGATCACCGCCTCCAGACCGGGCAGGCCAAATATCATGCGATTCAGCGCGCCCTCACAGGGCAGCATGCCATCTCCAAGGACCATCGCACTCGATTATGGACCGCCTGCATCCGCACAAGCTTGCATTCTTCTCTCCCTGCTGTAGGCCTAACGGACCCTGGGCTCCTGCGCCTGGAGAAGTGTACGCTAAGGCACTTACGTGCCATCCTTAAGCTGCCAGCCCACAAAACTCACGTCAGTAATGAAGAGATTTGGGTCCGGTCTCAGGTCACCAAACCGGGAGCGCACATCCTGCAGGCTCTGATTTCTTTTCGCACCAAACTGGAGCATCGGCTCGCCACTCATCCTGATATCACCACGCGCCCAGGTGTCATGGACCATATTTGTGCCATGGAACAACAGCTTATCCAGCTGCTTACCCAGCGGGACGTGAGTCAGGCCAATGGTGCCCTTGGTGGGCCCGAATCAGAGGAAGTGCAGTGTCCATACTGCACAAGTGTTCTCACCTCACAGCATGCACTCAGGATACACTGTGGTCTCCATCATCCAGAGCACAAACTTGACAGCATTGGTCGGGGCCAAAGCTTCGACCCTCTCCAGCACTCTGCTGGCGGGTTGCCTCACTGCAGACTGTGCGGCCGCAAATTCGCTAAGTGGCAAAACCTCAAACACCACATAGAATCAGGTGCTTGTAGCCATTTAGGGGGTGCCAGTTTTGTGCAACATCCCACCACTGAGGTGGAACTCTGCCCTGAGGCTGCAGAGCAGGTGAAACCACCTACCCTGGCTGAAGCAGCCACTGCCACAGCGGCACAAAATGCCCCGCTGGTGCAAAGGCCTTTCTTCCTGCAACCGTGGCCTCAGTGGGACAGCTTGCTCAAGCACACGGCTCTCAGGAAGGAGTTGTTGCATCATTGTTCACTTTGCCAGATGTGGGTTGTAGACCACCAGCATCTTAAGCAGCACATCCGACGAGCCCACAAAGACGTATACAATGCTCTACATGAGGTTGTTCTAACACGCTGTAAGCCCTTCCGGCGACAACTTGCGTCGGGTAGTGACTGCCCTTGGTGCGGGCACAAGGTGTGGGCCCCAGGTCGGCACGCCAATTCCTGCCCCGTCCTGTATCAGCTTTGCTTGGCAGCAGCGTACTGCGAACACTGCAGGCCGCCGAGTGCTTCCCCATCTGTGCAACCTCGCCCTTCTGGTAGCCCAGGTGAGCCCATCGCTGATAGCGCATCCACCTTGCACCCGCAGCCTGCCCCGCCTCAGGACAATCGCGCTCCCCATGCCGATCATGGACACCAGTTCGGGGATGAACCCGGATGCCGATATCTTCAGGTTTTGCCTAGTGGGGCAGGAGAGCCAATCGAGCCCGGGACAGAAGTCCAAGGACGACAAGCCGAACAAACGACAGCGCCAGGATCCCAGCGAGACGAGGCGAGGCCAGCGACGACCATTCGCTCCTTCTTCGCACCAAAAGCCTCCACCAGACGATGCAGTCCGTACGCTGGCACGCATGGTCCTCCGACAGGAGGACATGCTGGCGGAGCTTCGCATGGACAAACTGTTCATCTGCTTCCTCCGGGAGGACGAGATCAGTGTGCTGCCGGGCCTCTACCAGGTTTCCAAGGAGTACCACAAGCAGCAGGAGGAGGGCACACTGCAAGCTCAGAGCCCACTCCGCACACTGTTGTTAGCGTGCATGATGAAGCAGCTTCGGGATCGCATCAACCACATGATGGGGGCCCAGGAGGGGATCGCCAAGCTCCAGACTGCTGGGTGGCTAACGCCGGACAAGGCGTGGGCTCGACACAAATGGTGCGGCGGAGCGGTTTTTTTTTTCCTAGGTCTGGCCCTCCCCGGCTTGCTTTCCTAAGTCTGGCCCACTGGTTGTGGTTGCCAACATCGGCAACTGCGGTCTTTGCTGCATCAAGCTATTGGGGAACTAGAATTTGACGGCTCTGGTTTTGCTTCTGTTTTGCATGAAGCTATTGGGGAACTACAACTTGCGGAGATTGATTTTGCTTGTGTTTAGCATGAAGCTGTTGGGGAACCACAAGTTGCAGGGTTCGGTTTTCTTTGTGTTTTGCATGAAGCTATTGGGGAGTTCGCATTTGCAGGGATCGGTGTTGCTTGTGTTTTGCATCAAGCTATTGGGGAACTACAATTCGCAGGGTCTTCTTCTGCTTGTGTTGTGCTTCAAGCTATTAGGGAACTAGAATTTGCGGTGTGTTCTTCTGCTTGTGTTTTGCATGAAGCTATTAGGGAACTACAATTTGCGGTGTGTTCTTGTGCTTGTGTTTTGCATCAAGCTAATGGGGGAACTACAATTTGCGGGGCTCTTGGGGAACTACAAGTTTGTCTTTTATTGTTTGTGTTTTCCATCAAGCTAATGGGGAACTAGCATTCGCAGGGTCTGGTTTTGCTTGTGTCTGGCATGAAGCTATTGGAGCACTACAATTTGCAGGGTCGTGTTTCGCGTGTGAATATTGCGGGATTACAATTTCAAATCTTCTGTCTTGTGTCGTTGTTTTTTGGTGTCGTTGTCGACATCCTCGTCATCGTCGTCGTCATCGTCCTCGTCGTTGCCGTCGTGGTAGTTGTTCTTGTTGTTGTTGCTGTTGCTGGTGTTCTTGTTGTTGTTGCTGTTGTTGTTGTTGTGGTTGTCGTGGTGGTTGTGGTTGTGGCTGTTGCTGTTGTTGTTGTTGTTGCTGATGTTGTTGGTGGTGGTGGTGTTGTTGTTGTTTGTTGTGTGTTGCTTGTTGCTTGTTGCTAGTTGTGTTAGTTGCTAGTTGTGTTAATTGTTTAGTTGTTAGTAGTTAGTTGCTAGTTGCTAGTTGTTAGGTGTTAGTTGTTCGTTGCTAGTTGTTAGTTGTTGGTGTTAGCTGTTAGTTGTCAGTCGTTGGTTGTTATTTGTGAGTTGTGAGTTGTTACTTGTTTCTTGTTAATGGTTAGTTGTTTCGTGCTTATTGTTCCTTGTTTCTTGTTTGTTGTTTCTTGAAAGGGGTGAGGGATCAAAAAAATTTAAAATAACGATCAAAAGAAATTAAATCGCTCAAAATACAGCAATTCCTGGGGCAGAGGCATCAAAAACAAATAAAATAAGGATCAACAAAAAATTAAATCACTTAAAATACAGCAATTCCTGAATTTTTCCAAGGGAAACACTGTTTTCCTAGGGATTTTCTTTTGTTTCCTTAGGATCTGTTTGGTTTTTCCTCTGGAAAACACGATATTCCTGCGGAAGCCGTGGTATTTCCCTAAGTTTTCCTTAATTTTTCGTAGGAAGAAGCCTATTTTCCTCTTACCTATGGCGTTCATGTCATTTCTTCAGGTTTTCAGAAGGACAACATATGGTTGTTCCTCGGGAAAATCAAATTTTCCTTACAATTTCACATTTAGGACGGATTTCCTGTTGTAGCTGTTGCTGGTATTCCGCTTCATCATCTATCTTAAACAGGCCCCTCATTTGGCGATTCTGGTTCAGCATGTATCTACAAGGGCGGAGACGCCCTCATTTGCTGGGTTTCAAAAAAAAGGAATATGCTTCAAAGCAACCCTGCACGGCTTAAAACAGCGGGGGGGTTGGGGGGGGCGCAGCCCCCCCCCCCATTTGCAGAGACAACGTTCACATGATGGGCTTCGAAAACACTCTTTGAATCAAGCTTGCACGTCTCGAAAAGCGCGGCGGCGGGTGTTTTGTTCTTCCGTGCCTGTTCGTGTCTCTTCTTCCGTTAGCATTCTAACCTAATATATATATATATATATATATACATAGTAAACCAGAAGAACGACATAAGATGGTTCGACAACACAAAAATGGTGTGACATTTTCTGACATAACAGAACCTTGCTTCTTATAGCATATAATAGCATACTAAAAATACAACAATACAATATAACAGAAGATGACATAGAACAAAACAACATCTTAGTTTATAGTGTAGTACATTGTAACATAGTACAATACAGTGTGTATATTTACAACATAATATGTAGTATATTTTATAACATTAGGTTACATTATGTTATATTATGTTACGGTACATTACGATATTATGGTAAATTCGATTGGACTATGTAGTATCCTGTTGCTTGTATCTTTGTTTCTGTGATTATTTCATATTCTTTCTCTTTCGTCTTTTCCAACTTTGCTTTTTTATTCTGGACTTTCTTTCTTTCGCTCGTTCATTTATTTTCTTTCTTTCTGTTGTTCTTTCTTTGTTCATCTCATACTCCCTTCCTTTCTTTCTTGTTTTCTTTCTGGTTTGGCTCGTTCTTTCTTTCGTTCTTGCTTTCGTTCTTTCTTTCGTTTTTGCTTTCGTTCTTTCGTTCGCTCTCTCGTTCTATCTTTCTTTCTTTCTGTTTTCCTTTCTTTCGTCCTCTTTAGATACAGCAATTATTGAATTTTTCCCAGGGGGGAAACACTGTTTTCATACGGATTCGTTTTCATTTCCTGAGGATTTGCTTGGTTTTTGCTCGGGAAAACACGATTTTCCTACGGATTCCGTGGTATTTCCTTAAGTTTATTTCTTTAGTTCTTGCTTTCGTTCTTCCTCTTGTTTTTGCTTTGGTTCTTTCGTTCTCTCTCTCGTTCTTTCTTTATTTCTGTCTTTCTTTCTTGCTTTTTAGATACAGCAATTCTTGAATTTTTAAAGCACAATGAAGCGATAGTCTTACGTATCGTTCTTCTTTATTTTCAGCGTCTTTCTTGTTCATTTAACTATTTCTGTTTTTCTTTCTTAATTTATGGCCTTCCGTCTTTCGTTATTTCTCTGTTTTTGTTCTTTGGTTATTTCTTCATTGTTTGTTTTGTTTTTGTTTCTAACTCTCTTTGGTTCTTTTCTTGTGTTTTCTTTTTTCTTTCCTTATAGCTTGCTTTATTTACTTAGTTCTCTATTTTTGTTATCTTTCTTTACTTGTAGCTTTCTTTATTTACTTATTTCTCTATTTCTTGCATGGATTTCTTTCTTTATTTATTTATTTATTTCTTTTGTTCTTTATTTATTTCTTTCTTTCTTTCGTTTTTTTTAATTTTGTTATTTCGTTCTTTCTTGCTTTCTTTATTCCTTGCTTTCTTTCTTCCTTCCTTTCTTTCTTTCTTTCGTTCTTTCTTTCCTTCTCTCTCTCTCTCTCTCTGTCTTTCTTTCCTTCCTTTTTCACCTTCCTTTCGCGGATACCCGTTTAATTTTTTTTGGTCCTTATTTATTTTTTTGATCCTTATTTAATTTTTGTTGATCCTTACTTAATTTTTTAACCCCTATCCCTTTCTTGATTTGTTGTTTGTTCTTTCTTGTTTCCTTTTAAGTTGTTTGTTGTTAGTTGTGTTAGTTATTTAGTTGTTTGTTGTTAGTTGTTTGCAGGTTTGAGGGTTCAGGGGTACAGGACCAGGAGAGACCAGGGGACCAGGGAACCAGGGACCAGGGGACGACCAAAGGACCAGGGGACCAGGGACCATGGGACCAGACCTAGCAAGGCCCCCCAGACCAGGCCAGACCTAGGAAAAAAAAAAACAATGGACCCAAATGGTGCCGACAGGCAAAAAGGCTGATCATCGACCAGGAGGCCGAGGTGATGAATCACGACACGTTTTTGGAATCCATAGATTTCTTGCTCACTCACCTCCAGGGGGACGTGATTCAGAAGTTCAGCTCAGCCCAGAACCTTGCCAAGATGGAGGAATCCCAGACCCACACCGCGACCTTCTTCCTCTCCGTAAGCTTGAGGGGCCGTGTGGCCGTGGATGTGTACAATCACTTCACCAAGCTAATGGGGATCACGGCGCTCCAGCTCATTGGACTTTCAATGAAAAGAGCAACCCTGAAGCGGTCGCAGATGGCGCAAATGGTGGCAGCACTGGCTTATGGCAGGTAGCAGCAACAACAGCAGGCACCTCCGGTGCCTGCCTTCATGGCTGTTCTGCGGTCCCAAACCTGATCCCTCCTTTCACCCTCATAAACGATGGAAATGCTTGCTACATCAATGCTCTTGTGTATGCCTTGTGGGTAGCCGCAGCATGCACTCACAGTCCCAACATGCTCCATGACAGCGTTCGTCGCTTATAAGGAGCACGTGTGAGCGCTCACCATCAGCTCAGATACTTTCTTATGGGGTGGCCCAGAGCTCGGGATCAACATGATATTGCCGAATTTGTTGATTTCCTTGTACCAAGGGTTACCAATTCCCTTGATGGGACTTGGCAGGGGCGGCAGCATCTCATTGAGGACGCCTACGTCATGCATGAAATAGGCCCCTTAAATAAATGTATCCCTATGCCGCGACCCCGTAAGCACTCACCCCATGTACAGGACCTCATCAGGCATTGGCATCAGCAAGACAACAGGTGCGCCTTAACGCATGCATCGGCATGGTTGTTTGCTCAGCTGCCTCGCTTCAAAAGCACAGGCGGTAGGGTTCAGAAAACACGGCAATCATATCACGTACCGGCCCAGCTTCAGGTGCCTGTCTTTTTGGGTGAGCACACCTCGCGAGTTGTCTGGCACTCGTACTGTGCCTGCGCGTGCATTCGGCATCACGGTCCACGACCGAGCTCAGGCCATTACACGCTTTTGGTGAGGGGTAGTTCAGGTTCAAGTCTCGTTCTCGACGACGATGCCAAACCTCGAAAAGCTACTGATGCTGACCTGGCGGATACATGTACGTCGATGTATGTTCTTTTCCTGTGCAATACCACATACATGCAGCCACACAGCCTTTTTGCTCATGCAGCTGCTACGCCTAGTGCCCATGGAACTACCGGATATCTTCATACACGAGAAATACACGGAGCAAGAGCGATGGCTGTCCAGCCAACTGTATCTGCTCGAGATATGGGTTCGGCAAATGTCCCGGGACATGGAAGCGATGCAAGAGCGAGTGGACAAACTGGAGGGAATGATGCGCTTGATCCAGTTGAGGCTCCCGATAAGAATCACGAGCCAGGGGAGAAATAAATGCTCTCCATGTGCGATTCCGACGGCGCTCAATACGCTCGACTAGTAGTACAGTCTCTTCTTCCTCTCTGATGGCCCACACCTTGTACATTTCGGAGCTGCTTCAGAGAGGTTTTTGACTTTTCTCGTGGGGGCTGAGTCGTCACTCATAAGTGTGAATCACCTTCAGAAGTTGCATGTTCGTGCTGTGCCACCCTGTAGTGGCCGGGGCCGAAAATCGCCATGTAAGCACCCGCTGGACCAAGACCATTGGCCGCGAGGGAAGAAGAAGAAGGTCATGATGATGGTGATGATGATGATGAAGAAGAAGAAGATGATGATCACGATGGTGATGATGATGATGATCATGATGATTATGGTGATGATGATTATGGTGATGATGATGATGATCATGACGATGATGATGATGCTGCTGATGATGATGAGCCCTGGCGAAAGCCTCTGGGAGCATGGCTCCTCAATATGAAAGCCTGTGCGCGGCTCCCCCAGTGTGCGGGCCAAGGAGGCAAGAAGCAGGGAGATCTGGAAGCATCTTGACAGACCTCCATCTGATACTGATACTGTAAGCCCTGATTTCTCACCAGTCACGAGCACTTTGAATTACCGTGGAATCTGGTGCGATCACGAATGAAGTTGAATTCAAGCCTTGAGGCTTTGTCATACAGATCTCATTCGCTACAGCCTCACCTCGGCTCACTATAGAGGCTCTGGGACTCCGTAACTGCCTTCATGTTCTTCATTGTTCTTCACAAAATAAGTGGTTTCGCTTCAAGAAACACGCTCTGCACGAAACGTTGCCAAGCGAAACAATCAAGAAGACCATGGATTCCCCAAATCCTGTACGGTCACGAGCACGCCTCAATCTGCTCCCTCCCTCCTTACACAATGATTCACACGCAGCAAGGCTGACGACGAGGGCTCAATGATTCCGAACCTTGAGCTGCAGCTTTTTCTTGCAGCGCGAAGTTGGCCGGCTGCGGGCGACTGCCCGGTTAAACAATTGGCGGGTCCGAGCAGCAGCTTTGATCTTGCATGGCTACAGGGCTTCTCTCTTTCCACAACTGGTTTTGAGAAACCCTCGAAGCCACTCGATTCGCCGTTAAATGCTGCAGCACCATTGGAAAAACCGGCTCGATGACGTACTGGAAACCTGAGGCTGTTGGTTTCCACACGGGCTTCTGCACTGCCATCGCACATGGTGATACAAGTGCTTCAGGCGGTCATGCTGCTTAGTCAAAACAGTCTCGAGGCTGCCTACAGACCCTGCGTATAGCCAATATACGGAGCTGATGTTCTCACTTTCAAGGGTTCCCGAAGCAACACAAGTTCACACACGTGTGCTGGTGGAGCAAAATCGGGGTGCATGGCAAGCAATACTTTCACGCACCTTTGCCGGCAAACAACTGTTGATTGATTTCCACTCGACCCTCCATCCTGACATCTGTCCCGAGACCACTACTTGCACACCCTCCTGCCACCACCGACACAATTGCCATTGCTGCTGCTACCACTATTCGTCAACTATGTACGAATGCTGCCGAAATGGAGGACTATCGCGTGGATGAAGCCGGCGATGCCGCAAGACCAAGCCGTAGAGCTTTCTGCCAAAGGCTGTCAACCCTGGGCTCGGACACTCTGTCGGACTCCGCTGTTTATCATGGCCTGTCGGCCCATAATTCGCCCAAACCAGGCAGCAAGCTGTGGAGGGGGACTCGACACGACTGCGGCTGCTGCTGCTATCTCCGACCACGTACAACTTGACAACTCTGCAACATGGACAACCACCAGTACTACTGGTTACAACTGCTACCCCCCTGCTGCACTAGTGCCACTACCATGCAACATCTCACTCCCTGCACAGCGCAGCTATCCTGACGCCTCTGCTTGCACCACGCGGGTGGCGTGTGCTGATGCAGCGGTTCTGGAGCTTGCAGGTATCACCGGTTGGCTCGAAGGCCAAGCCCCCTAGCTGATTGCACAGCCCTGCAGGAGAATCACAGGTGCACCGCAGCACCTCGGCTCCAGCACAAGAGGCAGTCAAAAGCGTGTCGCCGCCCGGCTCACAAGCATCCGGCGACAATGTTGGTCCTGGGGCAGCAGGATAATAGGGCGTGGGTGTTGATCGTGTGCATTGATTGCATTAACTGGGCTTAGCCAGGATTGGAGTTGGTTTGGGCTTTGTATTTTTCATGGTCAAAGTATGTCAAAGTCTGACATTCAGACATCATGTTTTGGGTCAACCTCAAGGAATCTCAAGGAGGACCGGCGAAGCGGGAGATTGATAATGTGAAGTCTTGACTCTAGCCTGGACCGGACCCTGGGACGGCCTGGGGAGGGATCCTGGACCACGAAGCTGGGCATCAGCTCGCAGTGCGCAACAGCCCAAATGCTGTCGGTCCAATATCGCCAACTGAAAAGCCCAAAGGCTGTGCAGCTGTTGTTTGTCATCGAAAGGCCGCTTGACCTTCCGCCCGCATCACAACCGTGGAGGTTGTATCCAGGAGGGCACACAGCGGTAGACATGCAGCGCCTGTGTGCACAGGGCGTGGCGACAACACGCACGGCTGGCTTGGGGGTTGTGCTCGCTGATGCTGCCAGCGACGTTGCTGGTTTTGCTGCTGACGTCCCCACCGAAGCAGCTTCTGTCGTAGTTGCCGTCGCAGTTGATTCGGAAAACTCTTCCTGGCTTCTTTGAAGCTCCCACAACCCCTCCACCTTGCAAGCAGAAAATGGACAAAAGCAAGGAAGTGGCTGCACAGCTCTGGCGCGATAATGGGCTTCAGCTAAGATTCGCCGCAGAATCGTTCCTGCTCCGCATTGGCAAGCTCCGGTGCATCCTCTCCGCGGTAGATCCGAAGCCAGTGGTCGCAGAGCAAGGAGCGCCTCTAGGCATTTTCATTTTCCCAGACACGTTAGGTACTGTCGCTGTTACCTTGAAGAAGAAAATGCAAGAAGCCTCTGACGCTGAACAAGCACAGTAGGCCTGGATGACAGAAATCTCAAGACAGTGCAGCCAAGATGCAGCTCATCATCGTCAGCCCAGTTCCAAATCCCGATGCATCTGGGGAGGTCGCGGTCAATGACGCGCCAGTTGACATTCGGAGCGTCCCCCAAACTCTGCCGCCATTCCTGGAGTGAAGTGCTGGAGTATGCTTCGCCTCCCCTGCGCTGCTGGGAAATCTGCACGGCCGCACCCAAAGTGCTGCGGGCACCCATCCGCGGCTCCTTCTGCACCTCCTCAATAGCATTGCTCAAGGCCTCGCTGACCGCGAGAGATTCCTGTTCCGAGGCATCGTAGCTGGCGGCAACCTTCCACCAGCCGCCGAGCACGACCTCAGGGCAGACATGGGTGCCGAAGTGGAAGAAGAGCGCATCTACGGCCTGTGCTGTTCGGTTTCGGAGCCCTTGATGCAAGTCCAGGTCGAGGGAAGCAGTGAGCTGCCTCCTGTCGGTTGTCACAGATGTCATAGAGAAATCCATGGCATTCGAGGCATTAGTGTCGGCAGCAGGAACTGGGATGGCCGTCTCGTGGAGGGAGATGAACTGCTCTGGCAGCTGCAATGCGCCGCTTAAGTTCGCGTATGCATCCTCAATGCCCGGGACTGCTTCCAGTGCTTCCACGAGGCTGCGTTGTAGCCAGCCCTGCGCTCGGGCATAGGACAGTGCTCCTGATGCATGTTCCAATGTGGCCTCCTCGCTTGGCGCAAAGGTGGCCACCACCTGAAGATTGCTGTCGGCAGCCAGTCCTGTCAACAAGCAAATCTGGAGCAGGAGCAGAAGCAGAAGCAGGGGCTGGAGCCCGTTTTGGTCCTGTCCACTCAGCGGGAGAAAACCGGAGCTTCACGTCGTCTTCCTTCAAGCCGCCGTGCCTTGCGAGCATGGTCTTCAAGGCGCTGTACACCTCCGAACCCAGCCGTGGCCGTGAGTCCTCAGAGCTCAAGGCAAGTTGCAAAACGCCACCCTGATCCTGGCTGAACTTGAACCAAGGGTAATGCATCACTTCGCCCAAGGCACGGCGAGAACCTCGTGTTTGATGTTGGCCACGCATAAGGTGAGACTTATGGCACGCAGGCTGCGGTGGCCAGCGGTCGAAGGCCGGGGCTTGCTTTCGCTGCACGGGTCTTCATTTCCGTTGATCGCCTTTGCCTCGCAAAGTTGCCGCCGGAGCCGGCTGAGAGCATCGTCGAAGAGAGGCGAAGAGGCAAGCATCCGCGGCAGCAATGATAGCCGCAGCCGTGGTTCCACAAAGTAGCGAGCCCGGTACAAGCAGTTGACTCGGCCAGGCAGCCGCATGGCAGGGGCGTCGCCTGCTCCCCTTGGTGACTTTTGTCTGAGAAAAAAGAAACAGAACGAAGGGCTGAGAGAGAGAGAGAGAGAGAGACAGAGAGAGCGAGAGAGGAGAGAAGGGATGGAGAGTAGAGGCATAAAGCATAGGGCTACATGGAGCTGCACTTCCGCCCTACCACGCTGCCGAGGATCGGGGAAAAGCGGGAGAACCAGACAGAATCTGCGCCAGAGTAGAGGCTGGGCGGATGCTTCAGAAAGGCACTGTGCCCGAGCTGCTCGAAGCGAGCAGCGGCCGCGACCTTCCCGGCACTGGACAAAAACCACTCGAAATCTGATTTGGGAGCCTCTTCTGGGCGACGCAAAGCCAAACTGCGGCCCCGTTGCGGCATCCTGCGCCGTCGGGGCGTCCACCGTGAGATCTTCGGAGCCCTGGGCTGGGTATGTCGCCATGGCGGCTCGCAGCTCTTCGTCGGTCATTGCATCCATGTCGGGCGTCAGTTGCACAACCTGCGCCAGTGCCGCAGTCGGACCTCCAGGCACTGCCAGCCTGCAACCGCACAGCTTCGCATGCCGCTCTCTCTCTCTCTCTCGCTCGCTCTCTTTTCTTCTTCTGCAGGGCATAAGGCGCTGGTCAGGCCCCCCGGCCTCATGGGCCCCCCATGTGTTATGGGGCTTTCGGAAGGCGTGAAAAACATCGAGTCCCCCAGTTTGTGCAAAGAGATGTATTGGACTATGTAATTTTTGGTCACTCGTGCTCGACAAGTCAGACTATGTAATTACTGGGTTCATCGATGATGGGCTTGACACATGCACGATCCTTTGAGAAATGGGTCGTCGCTTACCACAAGTATCTCACTTAACGCAAACAGTACAACTAGGTGTAAGGAAAGAATCAGAAAGGTCATTCAGCTGGAACAAGCCCGAAGGGACGACCAGGAAAAACATGCCGAATTACTTCGTGGCTGGAGAGGGCGAGCGGAGCGAAATCTAATTAGTGGCCTGGTCCCCTCTGTCAGAGGTGCGAGTATATTACATCCCCCGAAGGGGAGATATAAAGAATTTCGGCAGGCGGTGTGGTATAAATGTCAGCCTCAAGGAGGCCTTTTTGAAAAACATTTGCAATGCAATTAGATCAGCAGTAACATGGAGAGGGTTTGCAACTGCGTAGCGGCTTCACTGATCGAAATGACAGGAGCTGCAGCAAGGACTTGCATCATAATTAGAACCGATCGTGACGACAGTCTGCCTGCTCAGTACTGGCAAAGGCTCAGCAAAGCTCAGAACACCACATATGCGGTATAATATAGAGGATGAGACGTCGTAAAGAGCAATTCATCGCCAGCTCCGCTCCGAAGCAGGCCGAACACAGCATGATCACGACAATTTCAATGGCCGTAAAGTGCTTGAACGCTTCAAGTTCGTCCCACAAGGATAGCTTCTTGATCTCACTCGCCTCGGACACGTCGAACCTTTTCGCAGTGGGGGTATCCCAACACAGCACTTTCACGTCCGTCGCACTGACGAGGAAGAGGACTGCAGGAACTATCATGGACACTCGCCAGACCGGGGGTGAGCTATTCGACGTTGTCAAAACAGATATAGAGGAAGGCCTGGCCTATATAATATATATTATTATAATATATGTAAATTAACAGGCTGCCCATGTCACTTCCCTTGCTGAAGCCCTTGTCATAGGAGCAGCCATAGCCAAATGAGCCCTTCGTCGATGCCATATGATTGGAAACCTGACAGGGGCCGCTGTAGCCCTTGCTGCTTGTCTTGCCCTTGCTGCCAATGGCCTTGCCCATCATTTTGCCCTTGATGGCACTCTGCCTTTGACTCTGGCTGAACTCCTCTTCTGAGCGCTGCCAGCACATCATAATCTTTCTGAAATCTGAAATGAGGCGGCGCCAAATGCTCTTGAACTCATGAGTTCTTTGTTCAGCATCAAAGTCATTGGCATGTGTTTGATCCCAGCCACCATACCGAAGATGTGCAGTGCCAAACGGTCCACAATTCGCCAAATACTGATACCAGTCCCATGGCTCAAAATTCCGAGGTCTGTCATCTGCATTCATAGAGATGACAATGTCAGGCTTGACCCGGAGCTGGTCATATCGGATCGGGCAACCAATACTGCCAACAAACAGTTGCCACTGGGGATGGTCGTAAATCAAAACATCATCCATGGGCCACGTCTCGACATCATGCTGGCATGGCCGAGGTGGCGGGATCGACCCAGGCAGCACATCTGTCTGGCCGGTCCATGCTTTGTACAACTTCATATCCATATCTCCGAAATCTGAGATGGCCTCAACTGCCAATTTGATTCGTTGATCCAATTGTGCAGCCCTTTGGATCTTTCGGAGCCCGGTGGTATAGTCGGCAGCTGATCTGCCACAGTGTAAACAATTCCACCGAAGTTGTTGCACGGCTTCGTTCCAGTAATCACTGCCAAGGTCAATGTGATTGGCCTGATGATGGTCAGCAGCAGAACTCTGGCACTCTGCCTCGGAACTCCCTGAGCACCTTGAAACGGTCGTCGGCATCACTGCTGTCATCGAGCACACAATTGTCCAACGATTAAAACATTAACAGTGACTAATGCATCACTATACAGTACATTAACCAATGATATGTAACATTGTGTTACTACTGTTACATCAGTATGAATGAATCACTTGATTCCCTGGCCGGCAGATGTCGATCATGTATGGTGCAAGGCAACTCACTGACAGACTATGCAGGCAGGCAGGCAGGCAGCCAGCCTCGGAGACAGCAGGGTCCTGAGGACGTCACTGCCACCCGGCACTGTGTAGTCAGCATGTCATGCTGGGTAACCTTTTTGAATCCAAGTTGCGCACACTACCGCTGAGGTCTCAAATCGGACAGTCTAGCTCTGCTGGCGAGATCGTCGAATTCAAAATCCTCTAAGCACACGCAAACCCGGCACTCTGCCTTCCCCAACATCCGTAATACGGTCTCGGAGGCTGTACAAACACGACAAATCATTGATTCAGTGACGACACAAATTCGTCTGACACATTGTAATGTAAAATTCCTGGCACTCTGCCTTGCCTGCAATCCCGCACCAATCTGGTCTGCTCATTAACATACCAGGCTACTTGCAAGACTTGCCCACGCTCTTGAGAATTCAGAAACATCCACAATGTCGTAAAGCACTCCTCTAGCATCGTGTCGAACCGAATCACAGAATCATCGTCGTCAAAACTGTCCGCGACCGAGCCCGCAGTGCTTGCACCCTCATCGTCAACCAGAACCCAGTCCGAGCCCAGAGACTCACTGTCACTCCACGACATCGACCGCATCTGCCGGCTTGCAGGGAGGCCTACTACGACTTAGACTAGAGACAGAGCAGGTCGTCGGCATCACTGCTTTCATCGAGCACACAATTGTCCAACGATTAAAACATTAACAGTGACTAATGCATCACTATACAGTACATTAATCAATGATATGTGACATTGTGTTACTACTGTTACATCAGTATGAATGAATCACTTGATTCCCTGGCCGGCAGACAGATGTCGATCATGTATGGTGCAAGGCAACTCACTGACAGACTATGCAGGCAGGCAGGCAGGCAGCCAGCCTCGGAGACAGCAGGGTCCTGAGGACGTCACTGCCACCCGGCACTGTGTAGTCAGCATGTCATGCTGGGTAACCTTTTTGAATCCAAGTTGCGCACACTACCGCTGAGGTCTCAAATCGGACAGTCTAGCTCTGCTGGCGAGATCGTCGAATTCAAAATCCTCTAAACACACGCAAACCCGGCACTCTGCCTTCCCCAACATCCGTAATAATACGGTCTCGGAGGCTGTACAAACACGACAAATCATTGAGTCAGTGACGACAGAAATTCGTCTGACACATTGTAATATAGAATTCCTGGCACTCTGCCTTGCCGAAAATCCTGCACAAGTCTCGGCCACAGTATGAACATGATCTGCTCATTCTCAGACCAGGCTACTTGCAAGACTTGCCCACGCTCTTGAGAATTCAGAAACATCCACAATGTCGTAAAGCACTCCTCTAGCATCGTGTCGAACGGAATCACAGAATCATCGTCGTCAAAACTGTCCGCGAGCGAGCCCGCAGTGCTTGCACCCTCATCGTCAACCAGAACCCAGTCCGAGCCCAGAGACTCACTGTCACTCCACGACATTGACGACATCTGCCGGCTTGCAGGGGGGCCTACTACGACTTAGACTAGAGACAGAGCAGCTGTAACACGACTATAGTAGATTACGCAGGGCAACAGCGAGCACAACTGCTGCAGCGGCAAGTTGCGTTACATGACACGCTCACTGACTATGCAAGGCAGCTTGTCCTCTGCGATGGCAGCATGTCCTCAGGATCCTCGTCATGAGCCTCGGTGCCAGGACTGTACCATAATAATGGAAGTAGCTGAAGCAAGCTGATGCTGAGATCCCAGCAGTTGGCATCCACTTCTCGATGGGCTGGAAGCCGATGAAGACCGATGGGAGAGAAGGAAATGGAAGAGAAGGCGTTCACTAGGCTTGGATTCAAACCGAACACTTAGACCTGGCCAACGGTGTGGGGAGCAACCCCGATGGGGCAGGGACTTAAGTAAGGCAACCTCGAGAGGCTCGACTGGCACTCTGCCTCTGTCGATCCAAGTCGCAAGGCTCCCTAACTAACGTGACAAGCATGGATGGCCTCCCCTCCTGGTTGGGAGAAAAATAAAAAAGCCACAACCACTGGACCACCCCACCCGGCACTTTAGCCCATGTGCCCGGGTGTCATATGCCACTGCCCTGGCACGTTGGCCCCAAGGCGGTCCAGGTACCATCGACAACACCTGACACCCGGCCAACGGTGTCCACGAACCGAGATGGGCAGTCGATCCGTGTGGGTAAGGTGGCACTCTGCCTCTGTCGCTCCAAGTCGCAAGGCTCACTAACGTGACAAGCATGGATGGCCTCCCCTTCAGGGCTGTAAGCAGATTGCGAACAACACCCACTGGACCACCCCACCCGGCACTTTAGCCCATGTGCCCGGGTGTCATATGCCACTGCCCTGGCACGTTGGCCCCAAGGCGGTCCAGGTACCATCGACTCAACACCTGACACCCGGCCAACGGTGTCCACGAACCGAGATGGGCAGTCGATCCGTGTGGGTAAGGTGGCACTCTGCCTCTGTCGCTCCAAGTCGCAAGGCTCACTAACGTGACAAGCATGGATGGCCTCCCCTTCAGGGCTGTAAGCAGATTGCGAACAACACCCACTGGACCACCCCACCCGGCACTTTAGCCCATGTGCCCGGGTGTCATATGCCACTGCCCTGGCACGTTGGCTTCAAGGCGGTCCAGGTACCATCGACTCAACACCTGACACCCGGCCAACGGTGTCCACGAACCGAGATGGGCAGTCGATCCGTGTGGGTAAGGTGGCACTCTGCCTCTGTCG